TTTTATTAACATTCAAATAGACAGCGTGTAAAAAATTTTTTATTATAACATGCTTTCAGGGTGCTTTATGTCCGGACAGCACTTTAAGAAGAAAATAGTTGTGTATACTCAAATATTTAGAATGCTTATTTACAAATATTTTATTAATTTAGTATTCGATATATTTTTTTAGAAAAAGCAATATTATTTCTCTAGAGAGAGTATATAACGCGTACATTATTAACTTTTACTGTTTTAAAGAAACCCAATTGCTGTTTTTACTTACACATCAAAAGTATAAAGAATTCGATCAAGCGAATGTTTTGAACGATGGAATTAGTTATTGCAATAGGTTGGAATAAATTGATTATAGAGATAAACCATTTTGTAATAAAGTATTAAAAATTTAAAGGAATTATCTAGTGAATAAGGAAATAATCGCAAAGAATGATATTATTTCACGCATTGTTACCATCACCCTATAGGAGAGATATGCTATAATAGGAAAGATGAAAATGATAAATCTGTTAATGATAAAATTTTTGATTTAGGAATACTAATAACTAAATATATCCTTAACACTATATCATGTCGATGCTACGAATCAGGTAATGAAGAAAAATGAAAAGAAGAAAATGATTTGCATTATTATTTTAAAAATTTTGTATATATTAAAAATAATAAATGTTGTGAAAAATATTGCTAAACATATTTGACATATGAAGGTTATATTAATAATACTTATAGAAAGATTTATTACATGGATTATAGTTGTTTTTATTATGATACTGTGGAAAGCATATACGAACCATGATTCAATTGTGACAGCATACTTGTTTCGGGTAATCTTTCACAAATTTTAAAGTCTGCGCAAGAGTAATTGAAATCAGAGGAAAGTAAAATATTAAACCTTCTTGAAATTGCAAAAACAGAGTTATATTCGATTTTTTTCATCACAATGTTGCATGACATCTCAGCCTAAAGAAGACGCATTGGATCTTTCCATTATTCTACCTAATTTATCAAATGAATATATTGACGTTAGCTCCAATATTATAATAAGAACCTACAATGTAACGGTTCAAGATTATTTTCATCATTTGTGAGAGTTATCTCAATATTTGGAAAAATTTTATTGTTATTCCTTCTGGATCTTTTAAATATACATTTTATTCAATCAATAAATTTTCATATTTAGCATTTATAGTCTATTTATGTGATCTTTATCCGTATTAAAAAGTTGTATTCCTGTCTTATTATATATTAGTCTAATACATCTGGATATATTACAAAGAATCGGAATAAAAAGGAAAAAATTAAAAAAGAATCAAAAAGGAATGTTAGAAGATACACTATCTTCATATGAGTAAGAATGGGAATTTACATATTATTATTTTATGTGGTAATATGTTGTACATTTTTATGTAGAAACAATTTTCTATAATTACACAAATAAGACAGTATTTTTTAATATGTTTTTATAGATATAAATACTAGTAAGGCTATTTGAACAGTCCGTAATATTAAAAACAGAATTGGAAAAACAATAAAATAGAGATTTTAATAAATTAACTTATAGGCATTATACATAATAAAAGTGAATACTTATTTTTATATGTGATTCATAAATGTGAAGTACCATGTAAAAGTTCGTTATAATAGCTGTAATTTATATAGGGATATATATTTTTGAAAATTTTCGTAATTTAAAAATCATAATTAAATGATAAATATCAAATTAATTACTAAAGAAAGAAAGTTTATTTCCTCAATACAGAGGAAGAAGAAATTGTGTTAAAAAATTAGTAATGAAGGAGACATAATTTAGGCAATTTCATGTATCCTTTGAATTCTTCATTAATTAAACAGTGAGGTATCACTATTATATAATAGGAGTGTGTGGCTTATTTGATACAATTGAAAAGGTAACATTTAGAATGTAAATAAATAGTGAATAAAATATTAAACAGTATTTAAACATAATGCAGTATAAATAATTCCTTTAATGAATATATTAGAAAATATATATTTAGCGAGAACCTTATATTGTAATAATTTAATTATTATGTATGTTTAATCTAAAAGAATAATTTTATATTTTCGAGACATACTTTTAGTATATATAAATGTGAATACTATGTTATACACTAATGAACTTCTATTTAGCTTTTTACGTATGCTTTTTTTGTCATTGTTTATTTATTTATATTTTTAGGATTCATTAATATTATAATTAGTTGTATATTATACAATTGCATAATTTAAACAAGATTATCATATATATTTATATAAATAACTCATTTATTTATATTCATTAAACCAAAGGTGACAGATATAAATAGTCTATTAGAGCACAATATATAACTGTACATAATAATTTGTTAAGTGTATTGTATAATTAAATATTTTTTTTTTTTAAAAAAAAAAATCATTAAATCTGGCAATATAAAATATATGTTTCGTGATGATACTATTAAATTTTTAATAATATATCAGTTTTTATCGATACAATAGAAATCATAATTCAGATTTATTTTAACAAATACTAAATTCATTAAACATATATAAACGTTTATTAACAAATATATGATATTTATTGTGTAAAATAATAGTAATATTGCATATGTACTTAAAACATAAGTTTAAAAATAATTAAAAATAAAAAATATGCGCATATACTTTGTGAATATATAAATATGTAATAAATAAATACTATGTTTTTGATTGACGCATACATTATATATTTAGTTGGATTTTTATTACATCATATGTGAAAAGGCTTACTTAAATTACAGATTTGTTATGAGTTTAACCTAAAGGTAATTATAATTAAATTTTAACACAAACCGTGTATTAAAATTATATGCTGTTCTTTAATAAATGAGGTGCTAACATATTAATCATTTATATGCGATCGTAATCTTTAGGAAAAAAAATAAAATTAGTTTAATTTAAATATTATTACATTCATGTATAAAAATTGAAGATTACATTTAATATAACTTATGTGTTTATTACCTATATATTCTAAATATATAAATAAATGATCTATGTGAACAAATATAACATTAAATTAAAGTTTAATATATAAAACTATAAAGAATAAGAAAACGTACGTAAATTATCATTATTTTCGGGTTAAATTTGTTTTTTTGAGAAAATTATAATTCTGTAATAACCTTATATTTTAGTATAACGTAAGTTACATATATATTATTTTCCCATATAATTGAATCTCCTTAAGATGATGAGTATATATAAGGTATTATTTCCTCAAAATACTTGAATATGATTCAATTGAATAATTTCTTATTTACATATAACTATAAAAATATAGTTTTCTATAGTAAATTAAAAAAAATCATTTATTGTTACCTTTTACGAAGATATATGCATAAATACAATAATATACATGTGTTATTTCCTATTTAAATGTTTATTCATATACATAGATTATGAAAAACGAAAAATTCAAATATTTAAAATAAGAAATAAAAAAATTATGAATAAAAAATGAATGAAATATATAAAATATTATAATGCCTGAATAGTTAATATTATTTACAGGCATTACAAAAGTAAGTATAAATTAGATAACATAATTTAGTGCAAAAATTTTAAATAAAATTATTATGAGATACAGTGTATACATAATATAAATTATACATACATATGAATTTCGTAAAAAAATGTTTGAAGGTATTACTAAGAAAAAAAAATTGAAAACCCATACACTTATTTATTTTTAATATTTTGCACTCATCCATTAAGTTTATATTGAAATTAGTATTATTCCAAATTTATTTATTTTATAAATGTATAAACGTGTAACACTGATGTTGTTATAATACAAAATATAATTTCATCGTATATATATTATATTGGTATACTTCATTTTTAACAAGAATGTTTATATATTATCTATAGCTTAAGTTTATTACTATTATATATTTCCTTTATCAAAATCATTACAGATTATGCCTAGTTTTAATGTATTTTACTAATTTTTGCTTTTATGTATCATTATGCTTTAAATTAATAAAATTGACATTAATATATTCACATGATAATAATGTAGACAAATATTACAACTAAGCACAGTAATGGTTTCTTGATAATTCGATTTCTTTGAAATACCTATATTGTACTATAAATAATATAATATTAAATATACTTGTGTGGATTTAGATCATTTTAAATAAAAAAATATATATTTTTTAAGGATGAATATAATCGTATAAATTTATTATATCTATAGCTCACTGTAATAAAAGCTTATATATTAATAAAGTATTATATATATTTATTAGATGGCTTCTAATTATATTTTTTTATTATATATCTTCTTTATGTATATAACTAAGAAATATCATTCCTGTTTTAGTATTATAAAAGTATTAGCTTAGTTTATATTATATATGTAATTATTTTTATAGTGCAATTAAGTTTATATATATGGATATATAATTTATTGTTTTATACTTCACTTATAATATGAAATATCTTTTTATAGTACATGATTATAAAACGATTTATTTTTATGTAATTGAACATTTCTCCTTTTTTAACTGTATTATTATATATGAATGGTTATGCAAAAATATATTTATTTTATTATATATTTATATAATGCTCATGATTTAATTAAATGAATAATAATATTACATTTCACTAAAATTGTTTTTTGTATGTATAAATATGCTAAATATAATTATATTTTATTATAATCATATTATTTTGCATTATTATAACTTACAATTAAACTTTATAAAACATTAATTTCCGTATATTTTGATAATACGGTTATATATTGGACATTACTCAGCAGTATTTTCAAATTGACATATTGTTGATTACTTTAAACTATAAGAATATTCTTTGATTTTATTCATTCATTACTTAATTAGAATATATATGTTTATATAATTATCATATTCCTTATTTATATATAACACCCTATTATATTTTAAATAAGGGTTAAACTACATTGTATCATTAATTATTCTGAATATTTGTTACTATTAATATTCTGAGGAATAAGCTATTTGATACTTCTTATCTATTGAATTTTTGTACGTTTTTTCAAATGAGTCTATTAAGTCATTATGATATTTCTTTTTGTTTTTTTTTAACGTAGCCCTTAACTCCTTTATGCCTAGAGGTAGAAATGAAGCATAGGGTGTGTACTGATAATAAAGAAATATTATTTTTTGATTATATATTAATTATTGAAATGAAATATTCTTATTACACATATATGTATTATAATGTTTGATAAAATATGAATTTAATGAATTTAACTTATGTATTACCTTATAAAGTACGAATACAATTGTTAACATTATAAATGAAAAAACAATCACTCCTGTTTCTGTGCCTGTCAATGTTTCGGTCATAGCACGTGTACTTGTCTCTCTCACTGCGTTTGCCAATATATCATTCATTGGAGTTTTACTTGTCTCTTGGTTTGTGTCTTTTATTAATGGTTTCGAAGGTACTTTTTGTGAGATTTCAGTTACAACTGACTTATGACATGCTTTATTGTAATGCTTTTCAGCGTTTTCTATTAATTTTTGAAAACTTAAGTTATTTCTAAAGTCACATGATTTTAATATTTGAACATATTTGTTATATTCTTCACTATATCTTTGACATGAATTGTTATCCGCACTTAATATATGAATAGTACGATATAGCTCATCCATATAATAAAGCGCATCATAAAAATTAGTTTCAATAAACTGAATCTCATGAACAACATTCTGACATATATTTGGAATATGTATTGGATTTGAACGTGGCCTCGGTTTTTTCAAAATACGGTAACATTCTGTATTATTACAGTTACCTTTACACTTTTTCACTAAATCCATTAGTTTGTAATAGAAATATACACATCTTGCTTGAATATTAGGGATTGAATTACTTTTTTCTTCTATATCTTTTAAATAAAAAAG